GCTATGCGTTGCTAAGGAAAGTGGGTTCTCTCAGTTTGACATAATCTCTCTGATCTCAAATGTGTGGGACGTTTGTCGGAAAAATCCGGTGATAGGCGATGACTATTTTGCTTGTAACTTTAGTTTCCTTTGTCCGATTTAGAAAAACTAAAGACCAAACTCCTCAGGAAGCTCTAACCTATCCAAAAAGCAAAACATAAGCCACAGAAAACCGATTTGAAAAAATGGTCTGAAGTCCCTATCAATAGGCACATTGCCTTTGGATCATTTCATAATAATAATAATAATAATTTTATAATAGCAATAAAGAGAACAAATTAATTTTAATTTTCTTGTCACATTCATCAGTGGAAAGTCGTGACTGAAGAGAAACCATGCTGAATACATTCAATGATGTGTTACGAGAACAAAATGCAGTGCCAAAATAGAATAACAGAACATAATGTGTCACTAGAGCGCGCAATGTCGTCTTTGAGGAATACTCTTTCTATTGCTAATGAGTGATAAGCACGGGCTTTGTGCACCCGATTCTGGATGGAAGTAGGGCACACTCCATTTTCCTTACAGCGCTTCAAAAAGATAATATTATGTGAAATGTTTCTAGCCAAGTAGCGTTTGCGCAGAGCATCATTCAGGGTTTCAACCTGACTCCTAGAGTATCTCCGTTTAAAATATGCACATAATCGACGTGGAGACAACAATTTTATAATAGCAATAAAGAGAACAAATTCTGCAGTCATCGCCACACTACAACGAAGTCATGAAAGTTTACCAGAATTAATTTTAAAGAGTCGGCGTGGAGAAAGCAATTTTATTAGTGCAATTAGGAGTATAATCGATGCAGACATGGCCAAACAACAACGAGTTCATGGAATTTTTAAGGATTTTTATGTTATTCAAAATCGATTTTCGTGTTCCGCTCATCAGTGAATAGTATCGGAACTGAGGGTACTGTGTACAAAATAGAACATTTTATAACAGCATAATTAATTAAAAGTGTGAACAACAAAGGAAGTGCTACAGCATTACATAATAGGTGTCAAACATAGTGCTAACGTATATAACTGAGTGCAGCCACAAAGCAAGAGGTGATACAGTGCAACATGACACAACATTTACATCTGATAACCAGCTACGAGAACAACTTTAGCGCGACTACATGCTTCTTTTGTTTACAAAGAACAGGATTATGCACACGAATACATACAGCTTCCAGAACCTTCAACTGCTTAACATAACTTGCACGGCACAAAACAGAAAAGTGAGAATCATCGTACACACTACGACAATCTGGACGTGATAACAAGTGACAAAATACAGCTGACTTTTTGCTCACGTCGCTCTCTGCCGTCTCATCCCGCTCCTTTCCTTCGATCTCCTCCGCCTTATCCTCGTCCTCCGTCTCATCTTCATCATCATCGTCCTCATCACCACCATCATCATCATCAGTCACTTCCTCATCATCCGTTTGATGCTCAGTCTCACTGCACTCCTTATCAGCCTCCAACATGGCTCCATCATCTCCACCAGCATCACAAGTCGTTTGACCGCTGCTCCGCGTTACCGTTGCTGGGTTCTCTGCTACTGCACACCCATTTCCACTGTCCATTTTGCGTGGGCCAAGTCCATTCCGTGCATAAATTTCAAGTGAATAGTTTGCTGTGCTTCTTCTGGGTCTATGGGTGAGGATATTGGTTTCATTTTGGTTTGTCGATGATCTCCCTCTCTGTCCAGACACAGTCGGCACCGTGGATCCCAGCACCGGGGGACCACCGTCTCGGTAGTCACCAAAGGTAAAGGGGGTGGCTCAGGCGGAGGCAAGGGCAACTGCCGAGGTGAAGGTTCAGTGTCTCTCGGTGGCCCCTCCTCCATTCCAGGACGATGATGTTGTGCTAGAGTAGGCTCCGCTGCCGTTTGCAGTGGGTCGAGAAGTGGTGGCCAGGTCAATGATGGCAAACCCACCCCAGCCCCAGCCACCCACGGCACCCCAGGTGGTGGGGCCGGTGGTGGCACTGGAACAGCCGGCGCATGGCCACACCGTCCACCTGCCGATACATTATGTCGTTGAACGAGAACTCTACGCCAGTAGTGACCAAGGACATTAACTTACGGAAGGCTGTCTCCGACAACCAAGGAGTATCTACCGAATCATTTCGATACAGTACATCAGCACAAATATCGATTGTCTCATCCAATGGTACGTTCGTGAACAATGATACTACGTCAAACGAACACATATGAGCACTAGCGGGAACCTGATGAGAGCGCAAGATATCTACAAACTGGAAACTGTCTTTCACTGTGCGCGTACAGTAATAACTTTGTACGACCCCGAGAATAACACAGAGCCACTTAGAAATGCTGTACTGTGGAGATGAAACCATTGATAGTATCGGTCGCAAAGGACAATTGGTTTTATGTATTTTTGGCAAGCCATAAAGTCGTGGACGGACGGAACCCATTGGCTTGATTTTAAGAAACTCGCCATTGGTAATTTCCTTTTCGGCTTTTAGTCGCTTGAGATACGTAACTAGGTTCTTCTCTACTTTTACGGTGTTGTCATGAGTCGCGACTGGGCCTAATTTTGAGAACTTCGAGGTATCATCAAGGATGACTGCCATTTTAGAAAGGTATTCCTCTCTAGTGAGGATGACTGTGGCCCGTCCTTTGTCAGGTCGGGTGATAATGATCGCATTGTTTTTAATGAGTTCCTGGCGAGTTTTAAGATGTTCACGAGATAAGGAGAATGTGCTGCGATCAGGAGGCTTCTCGGCATGCTCCTCCGCTATTGCCCTAACACTGGCAGTGCATACGGCTTGTTGGGCATTAGATACTGGCGTAAGGTTGATGAGTTTTTTGTGAAATAATTCAAATTCTGTTAGGATGACCTCTTTCTTGTTGCTGCTTGGAGGAATACCGAAGTCCGTGCCTCGGCAAAGCAGTTCCTTTTGGACGGTAGTAAGCTGGATGTTAGCGCGGTTAATAATTGTATCCGTATTCATGTGGAGCGAACCAAATCGCTTTACGCGTAACCACTTGTAATTCTTCTCATACTTTGCAATCAACTTGACTTGTTGTTTATTGTCATTTGCAGCAATTAGGGAACTAAATCGAAGGTAGTCATGGACTGAAAGGAACGCGCGAGCAGCACGATACAATCCTCTAAACTCAGACTGTACAATACGAAGTGTGTCCGAGGACCGGGCTATATCCTCTTTCAGAAACACTCTTTCTATCTCTAGTGCATGATATGCCCGAGCCTTGTGCAAGTTATGTTAAGCAGTTGAAGGTTCTGGAAGCTGTATGTATTCGTGTGCATAATCCTGTTCTTTGTAAACAAAAGAAGCATGTAGTCGCGCTAAAGTTGTTCTCGTAGCTGGTTATCAGATGTAAATGTTGTGTCATGTTGCACTGTATCACCTCTTGCTTTGTGGCTGCACTCAGTTATATACGTTAGCACTATGTTTGACACCTATTATGTAATGCTGTAGCACTTCCTTTGTTGTTCACACTTTTAATTAATTATGCTGTTATAAAATGTTCTATTTTGTACACAGTACCCTCAGTTCCGATACTATTCACTGATGAGCGGAACACGAAAATCGATTTTGAATAACATAAAAATCCTTAAAAATTCCATGAACTCGTTGTTGTTTGGCCATGTCTGCATCGATTATACTCCTAATTGCACTAATAGAATTAATTTTCTAGAGTATTCCTCAAAGACGACATTGCGCGCTCTAGTGACACATTATGTTCTGTTATTCTATTTTGACACTGCATTTTGTTCTCGTAACACATCATTGAATGTATATTTAATCATTGTTCAGCATGGTTACTCTTCAGTCACGACTTTCCACTGATGAATGTGACAAGAAAATTAATTCTGGTAAACTTTCATGACTTCGTTGTAGTGTGGCGATGACTGCAGAATTTGTTCTCTTTATTGCTATTATAAAATTGTTGTCTCCACGTCGATTATTTGAATAATAATAATCATGAGGGTTGGCCCGATTCTGCGCGTTTTTTTGGAAAAATTGCAATGCAAAATGCGGCCAAATCTTACCAAAATGCATATCTCTTTTTTATGCTTTTCTAAAATTTTCTAAAAAATTCAATTTTTTTTAGCCAAACCGCGGAAAAAATGCGTTCGTTACCATGACAACAAAGCTTCATTTCGCGTTCCCTGCAAATTTCGCGGCCAAAGTTGCGAAAGTTCGTGCGAAGTTTCTCACTTCGTGACGTAGAGCGAAAGTTTTCGCACGAACTTTGTGTTCTGCACATTTTCATTTCGCGTTCCCTGCAAGTAAAGTTTCGCGGCCAAAGTTGCGAAAGTTCTTGCGAAGTTTCTCATTTCGTGACGTAGAGCGAAAACCCCAGGAAAACCGCCCTTTTCTGGGTCGAAACCGTGCAGAAACAGGCAAAATCCGAAAATGCAAAAGTGGGGTAGATTTACCCCAAAATGCAAAAAAATTGAAAACAGAATCTGGACATCCCTATCGTGCAGCCGAGTACAGTCGGCGCATGCGTGTGCTGGATTATGACAGTAAAAATTATGACATGGCTGGAGTCGACCAGCAGTCCGAGTGCCAGCAGCAGCTTTGGTTGGTTGGTTTTTATTTCACTTCGCACATTCAAACGGGAGGACGACCCAATAAAATGACGGCGAAGGCTTAGCCTGTAGAAGTGGCTATGGAAGAACATAGTAAAGGCTATGGAAGCACATAGTATTAGAAGAGAATAGGATACTAATAACTGCGAGTAAACGGGGGGAGAGAGAATACAATGATTATGTATCTGTGATACTACGTGACTGAGGATTACTGAACTGCACGGGGAGGGAGAGCTCAGAGCAGAGCGATCAGCAGCAACTCGAACTACTCCCTACAGACGTATGGTACACATGCACATACACATAAAGGGGAACTCCGGTCCAAAATCACCCCCATTTTTTATTGCGGAATCCATTAGAGTATGTCGTAAGTGGTAGAATGGCGAAAACCGGAAGCTTCTACGACAAGGATAACATACCTAAATTACCAATTGCAATTTTCCATATTTGGCACGAGGGGGCCCCCGCCCACCCTGTGACGTAAAACGTTCTCAGTGACCTCCAAATTTTTTTATTCAAATGGTAGACCTGCAGAAATTTTGAAAAAGGTATTCACTGTTTTTTCTTCAATCAATAACCCTTGTACTAGTATTCATTCGATCATCATGTTGGAGGAAGAGGAGACCACGGGAGGTGTGGAGGTGGACGCCACTTCGGATTCAACAACACCGAGGCCTTTTAGGTTCGAGCCGAAGCGCGCATCAGCGTCTGCGAAACTGTCTACAAGTAATATTTCTGAGACTACAAAACAGATGAACGTGAAGAGAACGCTTTGGTTGCAAGTGCTCGCGTGAGAAGCACTGCTTGATGCCGTTGCGGACAATGCAGCATGATGTGGAGCGAGGTCGAGTCGACTTGTTGCTGGGAGGTTCCTGCAGCTTTCAGTAAACGCGGCGAGCAGGAAGGGCTGCAGTGCGTCACGCAGCACTCAGAGTTTGCTGTTGTTTGCCTGCAAAAATCAGTGCTCGAGGTTGCATTGCTTTCCTTCGAAGAATTTCGGGCAAGGTGTGGACCGTGGTCAAACAGGTGAGGATTCACTGAATCGGTTTCATTATTTCCTTTCTTTCCATGTTTCATGTACCGGTACAAAGTAGATGGGAAGTGTTGTGCAATGATTTTGTGTACAGTATTCAAATTCACCAACTTCCATCACACAATCATGAAGTTCTATTGCACCCATGCCAATATAATTATACTGGTACAACGATGTCTTTCATTCATACTATTCCTAGCACTGTCAGTGTTTCAACTGTGTGTAAAAGTGATGTAAATTTGAAAAAAGGCCAAAGTGTCTTTAGTATAGCAGCCCATAGAAATATTAATTCGAATCCGAAACTATTTACACTGAAACTATTTACTTTTACACAATCATGAAGACACTCGTGGTATGTGTGTCTACATCTCTCCAACTGTTTTGTGCAGGATTTGGAGACGTGTGGCGTATAGACAATACACATGGTTCACCCATGGATACGTTGGACGCAAGCAGCGGCGTGTGATACCGTCTTGCGTGGTATCGAAGATAAAGCAGCTGTACCAGAAGCCAATGCAGATGCGCACTGGGGCTTTGAGGAAGCAGTTGGACATGATGATGATGATGATGATGATGATGATAATGCTTCTTGGCCTGGTTGACGTTCACATAATCATTGGTACATGTGCATGCAGAAAACAGTTGACAGACACGATTTATAACTATTCTTGACTCGGGCAATATTTGTGTTTTCGGGTGGGCGCATGCTTTGCACCAATGCAGCTGCATGAACAATCTGGTAAAGTTGACAGATACAATGGCACAAGACTGTACTGTGTTCGGGAGCATGGGGTTGTGCCGTTGCGAATGCTGAGAATGGTTGTATGCACATCGTTCAACAGGTCCTTCAAGAAGTTGCAGGACATTGTCGTGCAGCTTCTTGGCCACTTTGTGCTCTTGGTGTATTCCAGCCTGTACCTGAGCACACCCTCCTTGGTTTTGGCGTGCACTCTCTCTATATTGGCATTGTGGGACAGACATGCCGACTGTACCCGTGCTCTCATGCCATTGTACGAAAAGTGGACACGTTTTGGTGCCCACTTCAGTATGACAGCATGGACAATTTCCAGACTACAAATCATACTGTACCTTGTATTTGTGGCAGTGTAGCTGCAACCGGAAAGTAACGCAATGGAAACTTACAGATAAAGAGAACCGAAATAACACACATGATAACGTTCCATGTGCATTACATCAATTCTCGACTTCACTGACTAGGATTTTGAGTAGAGGACTTTGAGTTGGACTGTAGTCGTTTAGAGCTACGTTCTGGACGGCACAAAATCATGCCGTTCACTTACCTCATCGTGCTCACGTTCCTGGAAGTAAATCGAAGATGGTCGGTCTGCTTTTGCTGGCAGCAGAGGTAGAGGAGCTACTAACTATTAGTATGACATGCACCGCCAAGTTTCAGGATGGCAGAGACCCTGGCTTCAAGCGTCGCTGCTGCTTCTGCTTATAGCCACCAATGCTTTGTGCAAACTCTTGTTGGAAATCTCTTTCATAGCACATCTCAGTGAAATGCTCAGTGCAGACACGATTATTTTTCGTCGGAGAAAAATCCTTCCAACATACTCTCCATAGCCAAGCTGTCGTCAGGTTCGCGTCAGCCAGAGGAAAGCCATGCTACGACAGCCCGCAGGCGCCTCTTTCTTCGTGACATTGTTGCATCCAGAGACGCAGCAGCGAGTCGTGACAATAAATCGGGCATGGCACAGAACAACAAGCACTTCAACAATGGCCAAGGACTTTTCATTCTTGCTTCAATTATTTGAAAATTTCATCTGAGTGGACCGGGCTGAGAACGTTTTACGTCACAGGGTGGGAGGGGGCCCCCTCGTGCCAAATATGGAAAATTGCAATTGGTAATTTAGGTATGTTATCCTTGTCGTAGAAGCTTCCGGTTTTCGCCATTCTACCACTTACGACATACTCTAATGGATTCCGCAATAAAAAATGGGGGTGATTTTGGACCGGAGTTCCCCTTTAAGGGGGCAGCCTACCCATAAATTTCATATGGCATTCAATTGACCGTAACTTTGGTGTTTCTCAATGGATTTGAGTGAAATTTTGACCACACACTCCTGCCACTATACTGGCCCTCAGGACATGATTTACAAGTTCTTGCGCCTCACTGACAGGCTTTCCAGGCCGGAAAAACTCAAATTTCCGGCATAGTGCCACGGTGTGCGAGCCACCCAGGAGCCAAACAAATGCATTTACAATTTTTTCACATTTTCGTGCTCATTCTGTTCGTGCGCGGGACCCAAACCTAGAACAAGTCCAGAAGCAGCCATGGCATGGGTGATGGGGTAGGGCCCCTCAACGAGGCCCTGGAATCTGTCACAACGGAACGAGTGGGCGTTCTCTCACACACTCCCACAGACCCAAGTCAATTTTTGAATTTTTTTAAGGTTTAGCACGTGCTGCGAGGTCGTACCTTTGATACAACATCCAGTGCTGGGACCTCCACAGCAAGCCATTTCCACAGCGCTGCACACCAAATCCAGGATACCCTCAGAAACCGGCAAAGACTACCACTCACGTCTCACTACTGCCTAGTACTGAATCCTACCTGACTTCTTGACACGACTCAAACTAAGTTACTTGCCAAAGTCACTAAATCAACGTCAACTACAATAATCAAGCCACATATCTGCAACGTCACGAGGGTGCTGGCAAAAGTCCTGCTGCACGGCGGCGGGCGAAGCCCGCCGCCGTTAGGGGTGCGCGGATTATTCCCGGAATAATTTGGGAATACTATCGTCGAGAAAATTTTGGGAATTTTAGGGGAATTCTATCGATCTTTTGCCAGATCCATTGATCTTCAGAAGAGTTTTGGGGGAATTCTGTCAATATTGACCTGCTAGAGAACAAGCACGCATCCATGGACGCACGTACATGTACATGCAGCAATACCCGGACACGACATAGTACTATTATTATTATTAATTCAACATCTCCTGGCTCGTCAGAAGACTGCCAATATATATGAGAAGTCGGGTGGTAGCTGTGTACAGTCGGATGTAGATCTAGTAGTGGTGGCCAAAAGTCTTGTCCGCAGGTGGATTTCTCGGTTATATTCAACAAAATGGCACAACAAGCTGTACACCTGTCATTTTCTAGAGCAGATACAAAGTTTAGAGGAGAATATTCAAAAATATTTCCCAAAAGTATATTTTCTGTGTCCCAATCCCTAAGTATGGCAATGTGCGGCCGGACATCACTTTTGGCCAATATTGCACAATCTACAATACGCGCGTAGAGTCAACTATTTCTCATCTTAACTGTTCTAATCCCTACAGAAACTAAGGCCAGACTCTCTGGAGTCAGCCTGTACCAATTTACTGGGCCTCCTTTGTTCTTGATCATAGCCGCCATGCGGCGCGGCATCGATTCGACGAGGCGGCGGCAGATATCCAGTGAAATCGAATATCATGCCTGCTAGCACTCAGTGAAGAGCTCACCATCGTTGTTTGCCCTCCTGCTGCCCTGGCGGTGCTGGCTGAGCATTTCCCATAGATTCTCGATGGGATTCAAATCTGGTGACTGTAGTGGCCACTCCATCACCGTCAAGTCTTGCGTCGCGCGCCATGCTTTGGTTGCCTTGGCTGTATGTTTGGGGTCATTGCCCTGCTTAAAAATAGCCTGTTCAACAGCAAAAAGGTCAGTCATGGACGGCAGCATGACATTTTGCAGAATGCCGATGTATTGGTTGGCTGTCATAATGCCCTCGACCTTGAAAAGCCGTCCAACGCGCGTCGCCGACAAGCATCCCCATACATGATATCTCCATCTCCATGCTTCACAGTACCACGCAAACAAATCAGGCTGTGTTGTTCTCCAGGCTTCCTGCGAACAAACCTCACTCCATCAGAGGCATGGAAGTTGAATTTTGACTCATCAGTCCACAGCACACGACTCCAATCTGCCACTGTCCAATTACTGTGGGCCTGGTCAAACTTTAGTCGTTTTTTCAAATTTTTGGCCTACATGAAAGGCTTTTTCACTGCGATGCAGCCCTTCTGTCCTGCGTTCTGCAGCCTCCTGCGCACCGTTCGTCCAGACACCCGTCAATCCGTCTGCTCGGTCGTCTCAGCTCTCAGTTTCGGGCTGGTTTTGAATCTATCTGCCATATGGAGTGTCTTTAGACGATGGTCGTAGCTGGCCCTGGTCACCCTGGCCAGAACAGTCTAGTTTTCAACACGTCCATTGACATGATGTTTGGCAATGACTCTACGGCACGTACGCTCGTTCAGGTTCAAAATTCTGGCAATCTGACTAGATTTTTCACCATTCTGACTCAGCTTTACAATGGCCAGCTTCGTGCTAGCATAGAGCTCTTTCCTGCCAGGCTACTACTACTACCAGCAACATGACTCTAAGTAAGTTGTAGATACTGACACAAATAATTATTAATAGTTTTCCCTTCTTACAGCGCTGTTTCCACCACTATAGTATCAATGTACATGTAGGTCTCATCAGTGAATTCCTGGAAGATGTTTCAGTCCACCACCTGGAACAAGGATGTTCTGCCAATGATGTATTTTTAAAGTAATGTCAATATTCACCTGTGAGTGTGATCACAGGTACATTGGCAGGACAACACAACGATTGGGCGATCGCATCGAGCAGCACATCCCCAACAAACTCGTACGGATAGTTACCATGGTTACAGTAACGACGACACCGGTTAGGACAGGGAGAGGGTGACCAGTCAAAGACATCACCGTCATGACGTCACCGTCAACAAAGGGAGGAGAAAACCAACACCGATCAAACCACCAGCAGCAACTGTCACGAGACGAAGTGAACGGCTGCGTCTCCGCAACAACGCTCTGCAACAAGCGGCTGATACAGGATCGACACATGTGGAGCAGTGTATGACCCCTCGCCCGGCAGAGAAGTCGCCAGCGGCACAACTGCCCTGCATAATAGCAGCCGCACGAATGGACCACCGGACGCAGACAATAATGAGTAGGACTCGGCGATACTCCGTCACTTGGCATCCTCACCGGCCTGCCTAAGTGCAGCCTGCAAACATGGCACCCATTCTCACTTCACAAATCAAGCGCGTGCGCGCAACAAAATACCTTGCTGTGCTGGAGGCAGTGTACATTGCCAAGCTGAAGCCTGAACTGCGCGTGCAAAAGAAGTATGTGCGAAAGTAATTAGTTCTGTTGTCACTGTTTTGACATTGTAGTACCGTGGTCCCCACTGTTGTTTGATACTATTTTTGTAGTAGTATTCATTGTTTCACTATGTAATTGGCGCCACTAGCGCTACCTTTTAAAAAGCTATTTGGTCTATGCTCTGACCTCCAAATATGTAGTTGGTGCCACTAGCGCTATCTTTTACAGTGCCTAGTCGAAACTACATGTACATGTACATGTATTCTGTGATTCGTGTGCTGATAGGTTACTAGCCTAACCTTTAAAGGGGAAGTTAAGGCAAAAATTAAAATTTCACCTGTAGTCTTCGGGGTGCTAGTCGAATGGTCTTGGTCCGAGAAAGCTGAGACGCTCCCTTCCTACTTGAATCCCAATCGAACTCGCGCACTTCCACCGAAACTGGGTGACTGCGCCCTACGAGATGGGGATTTGTATGCAAAATGTCACTAAAAGCGCCATTTCGTTCTTATAAAAGCACGGATGACCGCGATTGGCCCATATGTTGTAGTCTTTTGGACGCTGAGTCGACTGGTTTCGGTCCGAAAAGGCTGCGATGCAGCGTTCGCCCCTAATTCCCAATCGAACATGGTTGAACAAGCGGTCACGTGCTCCTGTGTACACCAGTCACCTGGTCATCGTGCCTGCAGGGTACAACTTACAGCCCGTTTGAGCCCTAGTTTTGACCTTTTTTGGGTGCAGTCCTAGATCCTGTCGCTCGAGTTGAACCTTGGTGTGAAAGTTGTCGCCTGCTGGCGTGGTGACCAGTTGATTTTGGCACCCAGGAGCACGTGACCGCTTCTTCAACCATGTTCGATTGGGAATAAAGGAGGAACGCTGCATCGCAGCCTTTTCGGACCAAAACCAGTCGACTCAGCGTCCAAAAGACTACAACATATGGGCCTATCGCGGTCATCCGTGCTTTTATAAGAACGAAATGGCGCTTTTAGTGACATTTTGCATACAAATCCCCATCTCGTAGGGCGCAGTCACCCAGTTTCGGTGGAAGTGCGCGAGTTCGATTGGGATTCAAGTAGGAAGGGAGTGTCTCAGCTTTCTCGGACCAAGACCATTCGACTCAGCACCCCGAAGACTACAACTGGTGAAATTTTGATTTTTGCCTTAACTTCCCCTTTAATAGCAATGAGCGTCAACACAATATGAGTAGCCGCAACTCGCCTGACGCATTATACTTGTACACTAACCGACCGAATATCATTATCATTCGGTAGTAAACATACTCCCTGTGCTGCCCGTACTACCCGTCAACAATATCACTGCAATGATCAGCTGTCATACTCTGCACTGCCTGGGCATTGCCGACGCTGTCGGCCTGTGTTTCATGTAGATCTACAACTAGAAGATAAGAGGGCGGCGACGCCAAGCCAAGCTAAACATCACACATGTACAAATGTAGACACCTGATTTGTACATGACTTGTTCATGAAGCCGGGAAAGTAATCTGGAATTCTACGTGGTCCATCATCATGCCAGAACTACAATGTATACACTCTGCGATCATGTTCACTCTCGCTCTCTGAGTCTGAGCTCCATCGCATTCTGGACAACAGTTCTGACACCATGGATACAGGGCCGTCCAGGCTATGCACCACCACCGCACAGCCAGCAGACATTTAAATTATAGGATCATTTTCTTGTGTTGAATTTTCAGAATCAACAGCAGCTACAAGAGTTTACTAAGTATAACGTCATGAGAGATCAGTGAAATCACTGCATTTTGTGGTGAAGTGAGGAGTGTTTTGAACGCCGAAGAGAGCAACGACTATATATAGTGCGAGATCATCAATAATAGTTGCTCTCTTGGCTGGAATGAGCGTGTCTTGTAGGATGTTGTTCTCCGCCTCCCACGGTAATGAATGATGGCAAGTGTTGAGGCACGTTTGAATTTGCAGCAGACTGCTAATTGATTCAAAAAGACACTGATTGTATTGGAAAGTAGTTGCGGAGTATTAGCTGTACTGTTCACAGAACCACCATCTAAGGTCCGGAGTTCTGCACGGTCCCCTGTAAACTGAGATGTAGTATCCTCCACCAGGACAGCGCATACGAGCAGGCGGTGATCATGGACGGCGCTGCTGGACGAGACCAGCCTGAGGGAGTGAGGGGCATCTTCGCCTCGCTGGACACGAATTCACTGGGCTACCTGGTACAGGACGATCTGGCTATCATGTGCGAGCAGATGCAGGTCGATCAGGGCCAGGTGGAGTTTCTCATGCAGCTGCTGGACCGCGATGGGGATGGCCAGGTAGGATACTAGTACTGGTAGCTAGGCTCTGTGACTCGTGGAGCAAAAACCTTCATCGCGTTGTAGTTTGAACTGGTTTTAGCCCTATAGCACGAGGTTAGGTTCGCTCAACCTACCCTTCACACCACCACACTCACAGTCCACCACCACTCCTACTACCGTAAAATCCCGCCAGAGCGCCCCTACCTCCTCGACGCTTCAGGTGGGGAGGGGCGGATGGGCGAGTCCTACTTGCCGCATTCAGTGCTACATGAAAAAGTACTCACCCTACGAAAACTGTTCGTACATCTCGTACACCGACCAAAGGTCAAGAGCCAGGAGTCGGACAGACCCAACAAAACGCAGGGTTTGTGCGATCCCTGGTCAGGAGGGTGGGCACTGTTGCGTACATTTCCAACGGGGTCGGGCACGCGTCTGCAGTGCAGTACGGCATCACAGACTGCGACAGAGTCATACGAGGATACAATCAATCACGTCCCTGACAAGAAGTCAGGGAGGGGCGGATGGGAGAGACGGGGCGCTCTGGCGGGATTTTACGGTACTACCACATAGACACATTCTCTCAGTTGTTCATTATGGTACTTACCCGTATAGTAGGCACTCAGCTAACGTAAGCCCTGGGAAGTGAGAGCGGTGTGAGTGGGGTTAGCTGATCCTCTGCTAGGTTATGCATAGAACTGCATGCCATCATACTGTATAACATGTTATGTTAGGTGTCAGCCACCTGATGGATTGCACATGTGCGTGCGACTTCGAATATTTAGAAAGTTACCAGTATTCCGTTCACATCAGCATTTGTTCACACTCTGATCCACTCTGATTTAGCCACCCGCACTAGTACGAAGTATTACATTCACTGGGGGCAGGGGTAACTGCAGTTGGATCCCAGGACGGATACCCTGATGCCGTCAATCCTTTTTCTGCACCTTGTCCTCACCCACTTACTGAGATGTGGTGAGTTGATAAGTGGGATCATTTTCAAGTCCACCCAGAGTTTTGGGGATTTCAGGGGTTGTGGGCCATTGGGCGGTTCAATAGCCAATTGAGTCATCTTTCCAAGATTCATTTTGAGTCTCTCTCCCCTCTCCCGGGGCAACCCACGTGACTAGTTTTGGCAGTGAGCAACAAGTACAAGAACAAGTGTGTGTGTACATGGTGTGTGTGTGTGTGTGTGTGTGTGTGTGTGTGTGTGTGTGTGTGTGTGTGTGTGTGTGTGTACATGGCGTGTGTGTGTTGCGAGGGAGGGAGGGGGGTCCCACACACATGTTATTTGTCCTTTACGACTAGCAGGTATCCCTTGCACCTCGGTCACTGTCGCACAGCCCAGCACTGCTCAGCAACTGAACTCTGCTCTTTCTTGTCTCACTGCCTGCTGTTACAAATGTAGGTCTGTCAGCAAAGCTGGACGAAACAGAGTCTTTTGGCGTCTACGATGATCGACTGTACATGGTGAAAAGCAGCAGCTCCCCGATGTCCGTTCCGCGCGACCTCTTCAACATTCTGCGCCACTGGGGGTTTGACCCGTTCAAGATCGACTCTATGGTCGCTTCGCTTCTGAACGACTTTGATCACCTGTACCGGGTGCAGGACGGCGGGCGTCACTTTCGGATGGTCGACGAGCTGTTCGACACGGCCACGCCTGACGGCACTTTTCGGCACATGCGGCGCTCGGACGCCGCGTGGTAGGCGCGCAACCTGTGGGGCCTGTCGGCGGCCACCGTGAGCCAGCTTCTCGGTGCCTTCGCACACGTCAACTACAACCAGGACGGCGACACGCTGAACGCGTGTGTGATGGCCGTGACCCTGGCCGGTGTGCAGGACGGTCTCTGGGCGGTGGAGGGCGGTAACCAGGAGATGTGTAGAGGACTGCTTGGTAACGCCGACGTTGCACTGCATCACCAGGCGGTCACCGCAGTCCAGCGGCTTGACCAGGCGTCGTGGTCGTCCGTCGAGTACCAGGTTAGCGCTGGCTCTGGTGAGGCAGACGTGTTTGATGCCGTTGTCATCGCAACGCCATTGCAGCATTCCAGGATTGAGCTGAACGGCTTTCCGCACAGCGCGAGCACAATGCACCGCGGCGAGTACCAACGCACGGTGGTGACGTTTGTCGTTGGCCAGCCGAGTAACGAGTACTTCGGACTGGATGCGTCGAGCACGACGTCGTTTCCCACAGCCATTGCCGTATCAACTCCAGCCGTGACTCCCTTCAGCTGTATTGGCATACCTGGATCAACCATACACAAAGAACCGGCACAGAACGAGTCCGTGGAAGATCTTCTCACCAGAGCCGCTGGACAATGGCACTTTGGACAAGCTGTTTCGTGCACGACAGCATGTCACCGTGCGAGAGTTTGCCGCCTTTCCCAAGTACAGCAGCAAACGGGCGGAGTTGCCGTCGTTCGTCCTCGATCAGGCCATCTTCTACACCAGCCCCATTGAGTGGGCGGCCAGTGCCATGGAGATGAGCGTCATATCCGGCCGCAACGCCGCGCTCCTGGCCAACGCGGGCCTCTCGCGGCGCAGCTGCTTGGAAAGTGGACACCGCAGCTCCGACTCTGAGCAGTCATGCGCAGCCCCACCGGGCGGGTAATGCCGGTGAAAGTGCTGAATGCTGGTTCGTTGTTCACACGGGTCAGTGCATGGCAGTCACCGATACTCGATTCCCGACGAGCCATCTATGCACCAGGGAATGCAGTATAGTAAAACTCCTCAGACCCGGGCAGGTTGGGACCGAGCGCTGCCCACCGTAACTAGGAATTGCCCGTATCTCAGAACTTGCATAGTTACAGCATGCAAGTAACATTTTTCCTCTTCTTCGAATCAATAGTTTTTGGGACCGTTTTTTGTTGAAGGGTCAAATTTTGCTTTTTTTTGTTTTGTGCAAAACAATCGTGGCTCTACTGTAGTGTAGGTCGGTCAGAAAGGTGCCCAGTACATGGACATGCCCGGATCAGGGACGTCCGCATCTGGGGAGGTTTACTGTACACGCCCTAACACAGCTGCATTTCAACAAGCTGCCTACAGAAACAAATGTGCACTGAGTATCCATGCACTAAGTGTTGCCTGGAGTTGGCAGAAGAGATCGGCACAGGCTGGCTGTGCTTTAGCCCCAGGTTATACTGTGCTCTCATCAATGTTCAAGGATGAAAGTGTTGGATGCCTGGCTGCAAACTGGTTGGTCCTGAGACCATCCATAGCAGATGATTCATGTTGCAAGCTACCACTCCGATGCTCTGATTTCTGCGTTCAAACTTTTCTCCTTTCTTCGAATTGGTGTCAAGGGGAGAAAGTCTCCTGGTAAGATTCTTATCTTGATCTTGTTTTGGAATTGTCTAATGGTAGTAAGTTCATACAGGGGAGCAGCATCCACTGCTGCTTGCATACCACAGAGCACTCACTACCTTCAGTCTCGACCTGTAACCCCCCCCCCCCCCGTTCTCATGTACGTCACTCTCTCTCTCTCTCTCTCTCTCTCTCTCTCTCTCTCTCTCTCTCTCTCTCTCTCTCTCTCTCTCTCACACACACACACACACACACACACACACACACACACACACACACACACACACACACACACACATGACTTAATTTTGGGCATGACCCACCATCAGGATGAAACCAAAGAATTCAATTCTAACAAATAAAGTGTAAATGGCTGCGCTAGTCCATGAGCAATTCAACAAGTTTGTGCATGTATGTTTACACAACAATCATGTATAGCATGTCACATTGAAAGGATACTTTCTTGAGCAGCCAAGCAATGTGCGGGTATGAGTGGGGACAAGGCAGCTGTATAGAGCTAGAGGTTTATAAAAGAAAGAAGCCATTTTGCGCTCACAAGGCAATAGGCCCTCCGATGTACATTGAGTTCAGAAGACTCCTTGAATAACAATTACAAGGGAACTGTTCAGTAGTTTGTGGTATGCCGGCACTGAAAACATACTTCGAAGTTGTATAAGCATGCTACACCAATCAAGATGAAGATAGGTCACAGTGATCATGTGTGACAGCAAGGACTTACATGTAGGTAACATGCACTCAAGATAAGGCATAGGCTGCCCAACTCCAGGTATACAGTGTTTCGCGAAATGAAAAGGTTCTGAGAAAATTGAGTACATCCATGCATGCACTGTCTTTTAAAAATAATTATTAATTTTAAATTATTCAAGTATCAGGCAGCAGTTGATTGTCTACAGTATCGTGACTTGATCACCGTGTTCACACAGGGCAACATACCAGCAGCATGTACCGGTGACACCGTGAAGTACCTCCCTGCTGTCAGTGCGCTCGTGATGACCGGTTAACGTTTGATTGTCACGGTCGAGCTCCAGAGAGATGATATCACCGGTTCGCCAACGCTGTCCAAGTCGATCACCATTACATGTAGGATCTGGTACATACCCACGCCAGCCAAATATCTCCGCTTTTGTGTCATGTAATGTCTCCAGTCGTGGCTCAGCTGAGGAGCAGGCACAAATGTACACATCAGCATACTGACTTGTCTGGTCTATTCTTATTCGAATACAGCTGATACCATGCTTGGCTGTTAATACTGATGAACATGTAGCCCTGGTAGAACCCTCAACACTCTTCCGTATTGTGCGTTCATTGTTGCTTATAGTAATATCTCCATGGCAACGGTTCGGATTGAAAGTCGGCGGAATATTGATAACCTTTGGGCTGCCCTGCACGTGCGCTTCTGCATATTGTACGGATACAGTGAGCAGACCGGCAGGTGAAGGCTGTGTGCGTGTCAGCTCAAGGCGTTCTCCTGAAATTTCTTTCTGCAGTGTAGTGGGTAGTTCTATGCTGTCTTCATCGTGAACAGAAATGTTGAAACGAAGACGATTGATACACTCCTGAGACAGGCCTGACGGCACATTTCCCTTGATCACAATCTTCAGGTTCGCATTCACACGAGCATTTTCAATGTGAGCTGCTAATCCGTCGGTGAAATCAGCAAAATCCTGGACAGTGCCGATATTTCCAATCTGACCAGCGACTTGTGGTGCGTTATGACCGAATACGATCTGACTTCTTGCGCATAGCTCGAGATCATTTCCTTCCACAGCTTTCCTGCGATCAATTGCATTGTTCAGCCAATGGGCCATCTTCACAAAGTCAGTCTCGTCATCGCAGTTTTGCGAGAGCTCTGACGCAGCGTGATGTACTTCAAGGCCGTCTTCTAGCCGGGCCACCTGGCTTTCCAGTAGCGCATGCTTCTTGTTCCTCAGTTGGTCCACCTCCTCCAGGAGAGTCTGCTGTCTTGCATCCAGGGCCATCTTCAGCTGCTTGAATTGTTCCAAGATCTCCTTTGAGGCATACTCCGCAGCTTCATTCACACACTCCATCTCCATCTTTACCTTATCCAGTGCAGTGGAGATCAGCCTGTCCCCATCTGGCAAGCAACTGCTGAAGTTTGTGTCGACAGTTTGGCGCATATCCTGCACAGCATTCTGAATGGGCACAAGTTGGTGTTTCTGTTCGGGTTTGCTGTGAGCGCCTGTGCCCAGGCATTGCTGACATGCCAGCTGGTCACATGGAACACAGTATTTGCTCAACACCTGAGTGGGGTGAAAAGCACAATAGTGCTGTAGTTTAGTGGTTCTTGGGGCGTTCTTCTCTTGCTCAGCAGTCAGTGATGCCAATTTATGATTACGTGTTGCCCTAAAGAGTGGGTGGCCAGCTGCATGAGTTTCACAGAGATATACTCCACAATTCACACAGCTAGCCGTGGCAGGTTCATCTTCAGCGCAGTCGTCACACAGCACCGGTTCCGGCTCACTGCTTGATGCGCTCTGTCCTGGTGTCGTCGGCTTTGGGTAATTGTCCGGTAATGAAGACGCCTGTGACCTTGGCGTTTTGGCGAAGCACTTCGGACAATGAACTCGTCCATCAAATGTAACGAGCTGCTCCAGACACGCTACACAAACTGCGTGCAAACAAGATACCAGCTTCAAACGTCTCGCCTTGCTGCCACAAGACGCACAGCACAACCGATCAGACATTATTATTATTATACTTATTCCTCTACGAACTCCTCGGGATCGAGCTTGTAGCAAACTAATTACTTACTAACTAACTTGGTCGATGACATTTTTTTAATCTCTGCTACACTGCATGCACCCAGCACTGTCTGTGGTATGCAGCTGGCCCATACTACTTTACTACATGTAGACCATGTTACATGTACATGTAATGTCATGATGTGGACGGGTCGGTCATATTCACAATTATTACAACGACGTCATGTCGACACAGGATATTCTAGGCGTGACCATGGTGACAGGACACAGTCACTTAGTCAAGCGAAGGACTAAAGCCGTAAACTGTACTACATGTACATCACTGTCATCAGTACATGACTGTACTACCCACCAAAAAAATCTTTTCGTTTCACGTGTCAGACACGCCCGCGTGCGCGTAGGCACGGGTGTTTGCAGTGCATGAACTCTGGCCAGTCGTCCCCGTACGCAAAATGCGTACGCATTTGGATCTACCGTACATTTCCTCGTCTTTTGGGCGAATCTGAGCGGCACGACGCTGTCGAATTGGGCCTGAATTTGCCCTGAACCAGCCGCTATCGAAGTAAAATTAGGTGTTTTGAAGACCACACGGCAACACTGCGGCCATGTCTTCTTTCCTGCGTCGTTTGTTTGAAAATCGGAGTGTTTTTGAGCTCGTAGTTTCGTCTCGTTGTGGAATGGCCGTGCGTACATTCTTCTTGGAATTACCAAAGTCACACCCCCGTTTCTTACATTACTAGGAGTTTTGCCGGCAGCCACGATAGTTTTTATCCCTGCTTCCATACATCCTTTCATCGAACAGCCAAACGAAACTTTGTGGCGCGCCTTAGTTTTTTGTGGCGCGGGGTCTCAAGTTTGTCACTTCGAGTTGTACACAACAGCCACATCATCTCAAAGGACCAAAAAAACCAAGTGAGCAAAGTATTTCAACGTTGCGATTTTGCCTGGCCTACTGTGAAGATGGAGACTTCTACTCGGTAGCAGCTACTCGTATCACTAAGCTGGGAGGGAGAGCGTGGCGAGTAAAATGTTGGGATGAAAAGAGCCACATTCTCTCTCGGAAAAGGTCGTCGTTCCCACACACGTACACTTGCTCTACCCAGATCTGCAGAAGGCTAGATTTTGCATGCACGTGCGAGATTCGCATCCGCCGCGCACATAGGCAGAGTCGAAATTTTTGTACTCTCGGATTTGCCGCCATCTTGACGAGTGGCCGCTGCGAAACACCCGTGTAGGGCCTACGATCACGCGTGCACGTACGACTCGACTCACTACCTTTCACGTCAAGCATGTTCGCGCCACATGGCCGGCTGGATCATAGCGCGTACATGCAAAAATGATTCAAGACTTGCAACAAGTCCAGGCGCTAGGCCATAATATTACTATTAGGCCGAGCTGCTACTGTCAGTACTGACTGTTGTGAGAGTACTGACTCTTTACTCAGTAAGGCCACCCTTTGTTAATTCATTGTTTAACGTCCTTTTTTTCGCGAAAAGGTACGCGGGAGGGCGGAAAAAAAACAAAAGCCCATTCCAAAAACTGGAAACCCCAATCAAACATTTTGCCCAGTAAAGCATGTGATATATACAATATATCTGGGTCTAACGGCACTTGCAGGCATAGAACAACACTCTTTGATAGTACATTGGAGCACATGCCTGATGAATCCAACAAAACAGGTACATAGCATGGAGTTAGCATGTCATGAATTCATTACATCTGGATTTTTACTAGGACACACACCGTACGATATTTAAAAGCCAACAAAAAAAGAAAAAGAACACAAGACAAAGGCATGCCCGGAGGCAAGATTACAAGTTTAAGGTCATGATCGGAACACTGTGAAACTACACAATCATGTATTTACAACTAATTACTTCGCATATTATTGGTACTACTACTTTCTTGTTTTTTTTCCGGTCGGAGACAAAAAGGTACGCGGGCGCGGACGTTAAACAACGAAAAAAGAAAGGGTGGCCTAATGGCAGCTGACTTTATTTTCGGAGAAACACTACTGGAGTGTTATTGTAGTAAAAAGTAACAATGAATGGCGATAGCATCTAGGAAGGATCGCTACCCTAACGTGAAGGAAAGGCCTTGCGCGGCTGCTCTACGAAGTGTTGAAGAAAGACTCAAAGTTAGTTGCTGGACGAACAACTCGCTGGTGCCGGAAAACTTTAAGTCAATGCCAAGGTAATGGTCAATTGGTCATGCCTCATCATCATGACAATGCCATGGACATGGTCGTGCAGCCGGCATGGCAGCCGATAACAGTCGGCGCATGCGTGTGCTGGATTATGACAGTAAAAATTATGACATGACTAGACTCGACTGGATCCGGATTCCGGAGTCGACTAGCAGTAGGTAAGGTCCAGCGGATAATGCCGGCATTATATTCGGCATTATAAGACTATCAGAGCATTATCATGATTATGGAGCATTAGGAAGGAACAAGACGAGCATTATGTGAGGTTTGAGCGGCATAACGAGTTTTATAGTGGATAATGTCGGGAAATCTCATGGGTTTTGGCAACAATCGGCTAAAGCCACGA